TCTAAGAAATGGGAATGAAAAAGCGAAGGAGCCTAATGAAATATCCTAATGAAAATTCTAAGAAATGGCAATGAAAAAGCGAAGGAGCCTAATGAAATATCCAAGAAAATTCTAAGAAATGGTAATGAAAAAGCGAAGGAGCCTAATGAAACATCCTAATGAAAATTCTAAGAAATGGGAATGAAAAAGCGAAGGAGCCTAATGAAACATCCTAATGAAAATTCTAAGAAATGGGAATGAAAAAGCGAAGGAGCCTAATGAAATATCCTAATGAAAATTCTAAGAAATGGCAATGAAAAAGCGAAGGAGCCTAATGAAATATCCTAATGAAAATTCTAAGAAATGGTAATGAAAAAGCGAAGGAGCCTAATGAAATATCCTAATGAAAATTCTAAGAAATGGTAATGAAAAAGCGAAGGAGCCTAATGAAATATCCTAATGAAAATTCTAAGAAATGGGAATGAAAAAGCGAAGGAGCCTAATGAAATATCCTAATGAAAATTCTAAGAAATGGGAATGAAAAAGCGAAGGAGCCTAATGAAATATCCTAATGAAAATTCTAAGAAATGGGAATGAAAAAGCGAAGGAGCCTAATGAAATATCCTAATGAAAATTCTAAGAAATGGTAATGAAAAAGCGAAGGAGCCTAATGAAATATCCTAATGAAAATTCTAAGAAATGGTAATGAAAAAGCGACGGAGCCTAATGAAATATCCTAATGAAAATTCTAAGAAATGGCAATGAAAAAGCGAAGGAGCCTAATGAAATATCCTAATGAAAATTCTAAGAAATGGCAATGAAAAAGCGAAGGAGCCTAATGAAATATCCTAATGAAAAGTCTATGAAATGGCAATGAAAGGGCCAAAGAGCCTAATGAAATATCCTCATGATATCTCATTATTCTTGCCTATATCTTATGAAAGATTCCAGTGATAAATTGAATGAAATAGATGGGCAATCCTAATGAGATGCCTTTCATAAAACCTGTGGCAGTATACACATTGCCTCTTGGACAGTTGTCATAGATTAATCATAAATAGTGGTAGCCACTAGTGGATGAGAGGCACGCGTTGTAAGGCTGTAGGATGAATTGGCATGTTGGATCTGACAAATACGAAATATTTGATGATTTTAAACAATATTATGTTACATATACAATAATTAATTTCGGCATATCAATCGGCAGTGTACAAATTTCGGTGTTAGCTGTGATTTTGAAGCTGGCTGATCCCTGTTGCCATAGATATCGCTATTCCAAGAGGAGACAATAACTTAAGGCTCTGGTGCCATGCCTGGGACACCTTATGTCCATATATAGACATAATTTATGTCTATATTGAGACATGTCCAAAAAAAGACATAAGGTCATCCAAAAACAGACATAAGCCATCAATCTCACACTCACACCCAAATAGGCAGCTGCTCAAGTAGTTGACCTCCTACTGGCTTTTCTCCCTGTGCTATGTGCCGCAGGCCAGAAAAATATTTGAATAGCTCACTTACTTTGTGGGAAATTATAGGATACACTAATATGAACCTAGAATGCATTTTTAAATCATTGAAAAGAGAATTTGTGCTGTTCTGAGCATAAAGTCAGTTCCACTTAATGCAATTGCTCATCAAAGTATGTGTCGATGCTAGTAGAATATCTCAGAGTATGTGGAAGCACTTTACATGCACTTCTTCCTCCTAATGGCAGGTTGTTGCATTAAAGGCAACAAAAAGACAGAATCAATGGGTAAAAAAATGTTGTACTGCTTTAAAAATGCTGATACAGGACTGCTGGTATGTTGTTGATATTTCCTCCATAGGTTTGACCTTCATATAAAAAGAATTTGTAACAATCTCAAGATCTGGACTGTGTTGCAATAAATCTATCTAAAGTTGACAATAAATCTGTCATAATTGAATAACCCTTGCTGTTGATCTATAATTCTACATATATAATCAGTGTAAAGTATCCTGCTTCTTACATGCACATTTTTGAAAGGAATTGAAACATTCTCAGCTGTTCCAGACATGACACTAGAGCCATCATTATTCCTGTTCATTGTAATTTTCAGTACTTTATCCTTGTTAGCTCAACATGAGGAACTCGAACATAAATCTGCTTTGCAATTAATCTGAGCTTTTGGCATAATCTCCTGTCTTGTGGTTTCATGTGTAAAAATGCATGCTGATGGGAAGACTCACTCATAATATCTAACCTTTTTCCTCATAGTTGTGGCCCCTGATAGGTGCCTGCCCCATTTTTAAATGGTAGATAGGGAGAGGATATATTTCACAAATTTTCCTAGCAATCTGTCAAGTTTCTAACAAGATCCATATTTGTGGTTCAATTATCTCTGTGAAAAAAAAAAGATGTCAATCGCTGGAATTGAACTTAGGTTGGCCATAAAAGGAGATCAAAGAAGCGCAATAATCCACTACACTATACAGCCCTATATAATATTTACATGTAGTTACCATATATGTAATTTTTGAAAAACGGTGTCCTTGTCCCAGACATGACACCAGAGCCTAACTTAACGTGTTTACAACCCAACTCAAGTCTCTAACCACTCCACCAACTCTACCGCTTCTCCTTCACGAAAAAGTGCAGCGTAAGATAACTAGCGGTGGTGAATACCACAAAGAAGATGCCCAGTAGCGATATGTTGGGCCACCAGAACGACTGTGTCACCAACAACGTCATTAGTCCCTTTCAACTTTTGAAAAAGAGGGCAAAACGGACGAACCTGGGCTCGAAGACCAAAGATAGAGAGGATGGTAGCCGCTGGGAGGTCCAGTTCAACTCCGTACTGCAATTTAAAGGTGAGCACAATGACACCGGGAAAGACAAAAACCACACCTTTATCTCCTTCAACTGGAGGTATCGCAGCTCGTTCACAGCAAGAGCTTCAAACGCAGCATGGAAGAAAGACACCGTATGGAGCCACTGTAACGCAGGCGCAACAGTTTCCCGATTGATAAGCAAGCCCGTGAACAACAGACTGGGCCGTTCGTTAGCCAGGCAGCATAAGTCCAGGAGAGAAAGACGTACTTGAACAACATGACAAGAGTCCCAACTAAACTTGCCACGCTGACGCTATCAAAGGCAATGGACAGCCACAAGACCACGCTTGCTGTGGTGAGGTTGAACAGAACCAGCGTGAGCATGAACTTCCAGAAGCCGGCTACGGTTGGGACCAGTCCCACGAGCCCATAGACGATTCCGCCGAACATCAGAGGAGGGACTAGTCGGAGAGGCAGGATGTCGAAGAGAACCTAAATACTTCAACGTCAACATTCAATCATCTTGGAAGCAAAAGAGGTACGAACTTTGGATGCAAAATAGGTAAAAGACGAATAATACCCATTCGCCCTACCAACCTTGATCAACACTCATCACGTCAATCAGAAAAGCACACACCTCTCCCGCATAAACAGAATCCGCTCATTCGCAAACAGGCCCAAACTCGAAAGACAAGAGAAACCAAAGAGGGCTAGCGTGAAGAAGAAGATACCTGCAACTGTACTTTAGCCCAGCGAACAATAAGAGCAAAAGCGAAAGACGAACCAAGTCGATTCTGGAATCCCGCAATATCATTCCTACAAAGCAATGAGCACAAACCCAATGGAGAAGTTTGAGGACATACGTGACATCATGGACGAAAAGCCCGCAAATAACTGTCCAAAAACCCCATAAGCACACAATCCTCAAAAGAAAAAGGCAAGAAACCTACCAGCCAACCCAACAGCCGAAAGGTAATGAACAGCCAAAAGCGCCAGATCCCTATAAAGGTTCTTGAATGCCTGTCCGCTCAAAATCCTAAACTGCGTCCCCCAACTCGCCCTCTTCCTCCCCCTCAAAAGCGACGTCTCCAATGCAACGTCCGGCAACTCCCCCGAAACATGTCCATCCCCATTCCTCACAACACCCCCATTCCCATTCCCAGATGCCTTAGCCTCCCTCTTCACTTCCTCCATCTCCCTCCGTATCCGAGCTGCAATCTCACTATCCGCATATGCCTGTACAAGCGCCGCAAGCTGAAGTGTAAGCACCACCTCCGAACTCCTCGATCCAGACGAAACGGCGTCTTAAAGCTGAGACGTCTTTCGCTTGATATAGTTCCCCGTGGAAGTGGCGATATATCCCCCTGTAGAAGAAGCAGTGGAAGCAGGCCGTGTTTGGAGCTCCGTTTCTTCGTCGAGGTTTGCGGAGAGGAGGGAGCGAGCGGACAAGGGGACGTGGTGCGGTGCGAGGAGCCCACGTTCTTCGTCTCCTAGATTGGTGCTGTCGTCTGAAGCGGGTGAGATGTCGATTTGGAGAGATTCGTTGCTGCTGCTTCGGGGTTCCATTGATGCTCGTGTGGTCATGTCGACTGTGGGAGGTGGCAAGATTAGCCAACGGAACTAGCAGCATTAGAGAGGAGAGGAAAGGAAAGCACCAACACCATCAAAGGCCTCAACACTAACAGCAGCAAGAGCAACACCAGAACCAGCATCAGCACACAACGAACATGAAAACCAGCCTCAACACCAACACCATCAGCAGCATCCCCAACACAGGAATCGACATCAGCACCAGCACCACGGCCGCTTCCTCCTCTCCAACAGAAGCAACAGCAACACAACCCCCCTTCTTCTCCTCGTCCTCCCTTAACCCGCCAAACCCCTCCAAACCCGAAAAACCGCAAAGAGAGGAAAGAAAGGAAATTTGCCCACACCAACGGCAGCACGAACACCAGAACCAACGCCATCACTGGCCAGGAAAGAAAGAGGACTTTGCCAGCATGATCCCAAAGGACACCAGAGCCAACAACAGCGCCGACGCCATCCCTGGTACCAATGCTGACAGCAGCAAGAGCAACACCACACCACGAACATGAAACCCAGCCTCAACACCAACGCCAACAGCAGCATCCCCAACACAGGAATCAACAGCAGCATCAGCACAGCGACCCCTTTCGCCTCTCCAGCAGAAGCAACAGCAACAGTAGCACAACCCCCTCCTTCTGCTCAACCCAACGCCATCACAAAACGCCAGCAACAGGCAAAAGACCAACACCAACGCACCCCATCTCTTCAAACACCCTTCAAAACCCCCCAAAAAACCAAAAAAACCAAAAAACCCGAAAACCAAAAAAAAAAAAAAAAAAAAGAAAAAAAAAAAACTTACTCAAATAATCCGCCAAATTATACCCCTCAGGACACCTCATCCCAACCCCCCCAAAATACTCCTGACACCCCACATAATCCCCCGAATACACCATCTTCCCCTTGCTCAACAACACAAGTTTATCAAACATCGCGACGATGTTGGAACGCGGTTGGTGGATCGTGAAAACCACTGTACGGTTGTAGTTCCTTGCGAGGGAGACGAGGGAGGATATGACGTTGTGGGCGTTGTATGCGTCTAGACCTGGGGGGGAAAATGGGGTTAGTAGGGAAGGAGGAGGGGAAAGAAGGGGGAGGGGGAGGGAAAGGAAACGCACCGGAAGTAGGTTCGTCCAGGAATAAGATGGAAGGGCTCGTAACGAGCTCACAAGCAATCGACACGCGCCTCTTCTCACCGCCCGAAATGCCTCTCTTCCCTATCAGTCAATTAGCTCACTACAACCCCCCAAAAAAAACGATGAAAGAAAACAAACCACTCTCCCCAATCCTAACATCCCTAATCCCCAATATCCCCAGTTCCTCAAGCGTCTCAAGAACCCTAAACCTCTTCGCCTCAATACTCATCTCCCTCGGAAGCCTCAAGAGCGCACTATACAACACACTCTCATAAACGGTCAAAGTCCCCATCAACGTATCCTCCTGATCCACAAACCCCACAAGACCCCTAAAAACTTCATCGCCCACCTCCCGTCCATTAACCCTAATCTCACCCTTCACCACCCCCCTCTTATTCTTCCTCGCCAAAATATCAAGGAAAGTAGATTTGCCGGACCCAGAGGCGCCCATTATAGCTAGGACTTGGCCGGGCAAAGCAGAGCCGGAGATAGAGTCGAGGATGAGGTGGGAGGAGGGGAGGGTGTAGGATAGGGAGGTGAAGTGTAATGAGGCGGGGACGTGTTCGGACATTAGTTTTGCGGATTCGTGGGCGGGGAGACGGATTTGGGAGGGGGTGGGGTTGAGGGAGGTTCGGCCTGCGTACCAGATTACTGTGTGATTTAGAATGTTAGAGGGTGGGGTTTATGAAAGGGTGGGTGGAAGGGATAGTACCTAGGGATGAGAGAAGGACGATGAGGCCGGCGCTAGCTGCGCTTAATGCGACCCATTTGGTGTTATCCGGTTTGGGTGGTCTCTATCATCCCATCGTCATCAGCACAATCGTTTACTTCAAAAGAGAGAGAGACGTACAACATATCCAGGAACCTGCGAATAATGCAAACACTCTCCACCCTCACACCTCAACGTAATATACGCATCTCCAAAGATCTGGTCAATCAAATCATTCATGGCCGGTTCCTCGAATTTACACCCCGTCCCCGATTTACAGCTCAACTTGGCGGGGCCTTTGATTTCTTCTTTCAGGAAATCGCCGATGTCTACCAGTCCACATCATCATCATCAATAACAACGTGTAAAAAAGGAAAGATGGGAGATGAAACGAAACGCACCAACACTCCCATCCTTACCACAAATAAACCGTCCCGGTACACAAGCGCATTTAACCCTCTCACACGCATACACCGTCGAATTGGTATCCCACCCCGGTACATGCGCAGAAGTACATTCCTCCAAGGCGCAGTAGAACGACTCGACTTGGGCCGTCCAGAATTGGAAGGCGCAGGTTTTGTCGAGGGAGGAGCAGGAGAAGGTTACTTGGGGTGGTCGGCCGGGTAGCATGTCGATTATTTTACGGTCTGTTTTTGGGTGGGTGTTAGCGTTAGGTGGGGAAGGGAGGGAAAGGCTCACTGGTGATATCACACATTTGATGATTGTTGAATACCGTTTCGCCGCCTTTGTAGCATGTCATATTCGCCACTGGGCCTTCGTCGTCGTTTAAGTGGGATATACCGGCTGCGAGTGGGAAACCGATGCATGCGTTGTCGTTGTTGCATACTGTTGTTAAGCGTCAGCGGGGAAAGTGAAGAAAAGGGAAGGAGAGACGCGCACCATTACAATTGATACCCTCCCAACCATCTTTACATTCACACGACTTGCCCTCTTCTCGAAGACGACGCTGGTCTCCGTCTGCTAACGAGTCGCATTCTGTCTCCATCCGTCCAGGTCAGTTCAGTCGATACGAAGGAAGGAGAAGGACGCACGAGGATTGAGACAATCGATGCCGCCCCATCCAGGGGGGCATCTACATTGCCCGTCGTATGGATCACAGTACCCGTATTGACCACATGTAAAGACGGGGAGGAGGCAGTTGAAGCATGGTGGGCACTTTGCTGTAAGTATACGAGTCAGCTTCGATTTGTCGTGGGGTGAAAGGAAGGGAAGGGAAGGCTGACCTGGTGGTACTAAAGAACTCTACCAACGCACCCATCAACACGACACTCAATAGTAGATCGAGGTCAGAGGACTCACGGAGAGTAATGACGAAGTGGTATGATACGTGTCGACGCTCGAAGCATTGCGTGCCAAAGTTGTAGTTGGGGTAAGAAGAAGAAGGAGTAAGGCGGGTAACATTGTTCTGGCAGGGCCTTTCCTCATGACTGAGGAAGAGCAAGAGGAGAGCTGCTGCGCGGACAGAACATGAACCCACTCTCAATGCTCATTGAGCACAGCGCAGGACGTGCTACCAAGGGGCAACCACCCGAGCATCCGGTTAGGACAACTGGTCCCATCGGGGTCATGGGAGTCAACACGTGCAATCCCAAAATGATTGTCACGCCCGCGCTCATTTAGCACGCGCCTTCAACGTTGCTTCAACGCGCTCCACAGATTCAATTGAAGACCCTTACCATAACACGTAAAATATCTGCCTTGCATGTTGTGTTTTCACCGTAGACAGGCTTTTCAATCAATTTGTTGTTCCTTCCCCCCATTCTCACTGAGAGAAATGCCAAAACCTCAACCCGCAGCTGAAGATCCAAAGGAAATTCAACTCCCTGGCGCTCCTAGGATAACAACCACAACCAATAATATTACTGGGAAGCACAGTATTCAATGTGATCTTTGCAGTACGGACATTTTGTTGAAATGAACGTTTCGCCTCGTTCACTCGGGTGGACAGGGACCCTCGCAAACGCGCGAGGTCTGTGCATTGTGATTAGCTACCTAAATACGTAGTCCAATTTGAAATAAGAAAGCATCACATGTACCTACGGAAGCCTACGGAACAATTGAGGAATAACTACGGTTGTTTCACGAACGTGATCCGCTTGAAATTCCAACACATTTCTCCGACGACAACAGCAAATCCACGGAACTTTCTGCTTCACCGTGGTATGGGACCATGCCTACAAACACGAAAAAATCAAGGTCTTCCACCGCCTCCTCCTCCACCATCTATTGTGCCTCGGATCGTGGTTACTGGAGTGCAAGAAGTTCCTTGCTCAGGTTTGGGTATCAAGTGGCTTCCAGGCTCGATCTGGGAAACTTATCCATATCATCGACATGAGGTGAAAGTGATGGGATGGAAACCTGTCTCGTTTGGAGAAGAAGAAAATGAAATATATCTTCGATCTAAAAGATGCCTCAAAACTATTCTCAGTACAAACTACCCACCTTGCGCAGAGTGCACAATGCTCGAGTATTCTTCTCATTTTATCGAATTTATGGAACGTGCTACAGAGGCAAAGAGCCATACACCTAACTGATCTATGTACAGATAAGAATTTGTGACTACTACTGTGACATTTGGATGCACGTGTCAAATCAGGCTAAATCCCACGACCCCGATGGGACCAGTTGACCCAACCGGATGCTCGGGTTAGTGATGTGCAGGCCCGGCTTGGCCTGAAAGCCACGGCTATGGCCCGGCTTTGCACGGCTCAGGCTCGTCCAATTTCAAGCCTGAGCTTTTTGCAAGGCTTTAGGCTGGCTCAGGCCTGGCTCAGGCTCAGGCCACGGCTCATGGGCTAAAGTTGAAAAACATGTACAAACAATCTGTCGAGGAATT